GGAGCTCTCTGTTTTAGAGCTACACTAGTTAATAGACCACATATTAGGACTTTTCACTGAGAAAAGGGGCCTCTTTTTTATTTTTTAACTTAGAGAAAGCCACAGAAGGAATGAGCCCAGGCTGGGAAACCTAGCTGTAGTCCTCTAACTCAAATGCCAAAGGCTCATGCCCCTTGCTGTGGAGGTTCTAGTTCCAAGAATGCAAATCTGACAAACGACTCAAGAAGGTGACAAAAAGGAGAAAAGGCTCAGGGTATTGTCACAGTAGTGGCACTTTGTGGCTGTAGAAATAAGAGATATGAATATGTCTATATAGGCAATATAGTATCTGTTTCCTACCACTACAACTGTCAACCTATTTTAAAGCAACAGGTCTTTGCTGAGCTGCATCTAATGTTGGCTCCATCTTCTTTCTTCCTGGTGTTCGTAGAAGTAAGTTTGTAAATCACAAGTGGTGAGAAATGATTTATTGCAGAGTATGGTTTTTCAAAACCAGCAAAGCAACCCTATGCATACCAGTTAATACCGGACCATCTGGGCACATGTGGGATGCTGATGCTCACAATCAGTCTCGATGGGTACACTGGCACCTTGGGCAGGGTTTCTACATGTCCCACAGCCTGGTAGTCCTGGATGGGGCAGGGACACCTCCCACCACAGCAGGTTGCTCAAGGTTTCATCCAACCTGGCTTTGAACACTGCCAGTGTTGGGGCAGCCACAGCCTCCCTGGGCAACCTGTACCAGTGTCTCACCACCTCATTTTTCCTTTTGGCTATTAGGGGAAATGTAAGAAAGTTGACTTTTTTTGTGGCTTTTTTTTTTCCCCAGAGACAGAAAAAACACAATGCATTTCCTGGTACTTTTTGTGCATTTCAAAGTATTTTTCCATTTAAGAACTTCAACCAACCAACTAACGATAGCAACAGCAAAACACCTGAGTGTCTTCCCTTTCTATCCCCCCCATAATTACTCTCTGTCCTTTTGTTTCCTCTCATACAAGTGCTTTATTTTTCCCCTCCAGAATGCAGTAATTTAAAATCTCATGTTGTGGGATAGTTTAGAGGAGTGAATGTCTCATTGTTGAGCTTCTGGTTCACATCCATGCCCCAGCTCTTTCTGCCTCTCTACAAGGGTGGTGAATACAAGTGTTGTGAAATTCCACAGATCCTTAGGATTTGTACAATGACAAATGCATAATTTCCCCAGAAGTCTACAAATCTTAATTTCTGAACTTTCTCCAAGTGCTTTCATTAGCTCAGTTCCTCAGATTTTTTCCTTGCCTATCTGAAACAGCTTTTCCACATGTTAGTAGATAATTTTCACTATAGAAAAATTTTGGCTTTCATCTTCTGACATCAGAAATCATAATCATTTTCTTTTGATAAATGCATTAGTTACAGTCTTTTGCCACATTTGCTATTTTTTTAGATACTTTTTCAGTGTTCTCATGACATATCATTTGAGCCTAATTCTCATGTGGAATAAACAGATACATTTCTGGTATTTCAGAGGACTGAATTACATGACTCTTAGCTTATAACTCAGTGTCATATGCATCAGTGACTGTTAAAGTGGGTTTTTCTTCTACAAGGTACAGTGTCTAGTAACAGTTCTCTCTATACTGCAGAGAAATACAGACCTATAATAATCCAATACTTAAATAAAAAGCTTCTTCTTACCTCATCTTGGACTTGTGATGTTAAACACAGTTTCATTGCAACGAAAGAAGCAAAAAATAATAAAAAACCTGGATGTTTTTCCATTGTGAAAAATTGGATTGTTTTTCTTTCAGAGCCCTCCAAAAATGAAAACTCAAATTCTGAGGTACAATGATCATTCGTTAGAGGTTCTACTTCTTCTGCATCCTTAGGAAAGAGTTTTACAGGACTCTGGTTTTCCCCAAGGTAAATGAGTTAAGGACATAGCATGTGGAGCTGGCCCAGGCAGGAGAGATTCTGAAATGCTGAAAGTTTTTACTGGAAAGCTGAGTAAAGCTTTCCTAACTGAATGACAGGATATCCTGACAGGGTTCTGATCATTTATTCTTCTCTCTGAAGCTGTTGACAGTCCAAAACCAAGGACACTGAGCTGTTATGGCAGAGGATGGTTTCGTCTTTTAGGTGTGCATGGATAGGGGACTGTAGTAAAATGTGCTTGTTATCATTATAGTTCAACTGATCTAAGGGAGAGCAAAAGATCTTTGAAAATTGTCTTATCAGCCCTGATAACTAAGGGTGGGTCCTCTGAATGTGAGGCTGGGAGAAATACTACTGAGTTTATCTCAGGAGGCCAAAAGAACATCTTCCACCTCTAGACAACTAGATTTAAAGGGGCATTAATCTCCACTTGTGACTGATTTTCTGGAGCTAAGCAGAGGAAAATTAATGCAGCTATGTTACTTGGATATGGTTGGGAGGGATGAGTGTGCAGACTTTTGGATTCCATAGAATCATAGAATCAAGCAGGTTGGAAAAGACCTCAAAGATCATCGAGTCCATCTCTACCATGGTTACTAGACCATGGCACCAAGTGCCACATCCAGTCTCATCTTAAAAACCTCCAGGGACGGTGAATTCACCACATCCCTGGGCAGCCCATTCCCATGCCTGATCACTCTCTCCTTAAAAAATCTCTTCCTAATATCTAACTTAAACCTGCCCTGGCAGAGCTTGAGTCTGTGCCCTCTTGTCCTCCTGCTGATTGCCTGGGAAAAGAGACCAACTCTTCTCATTGTTTCTTTTCTAGTGCTGCTCCTTGCTATTTCTCTGGTCAGTCTTGTAAGAGCAGATTATCTTTAGTCTTAAACACTTAATGATTTGGTTGCCTTCAGTTTGCCAGCTTTGCTTGGTACCCCATACCTCATAATTTTTTGAAGGCATTCCATAAGGGATGCCTTAATACAAAGTTGTGCTTTGTAACCTTTAACTCTGTGTTGTTTTCCTGAAGAACTCAGTGGTGATAAACATATAACACAATGTACAAATTCATCTGCTTTTGTTATATGCTCTAACAGAACACTGCAAAATTGCTGGTAGGAGGTGGCAGGGCAAGATGTTTCCTGTGCACTTATCAGATCCTGTTCCTTTCTGCTATACGAGGGGGAAAGTAAATCATTTCTTGTTTATGCAGACATAGTAGCAGCCAGGGGTTGGGATGTACATGCTGACAGTATGGATGTCTCTGAGAAGGGCTAGTTCTCTTTTCTGAGGTCAAGGCCTTTCATGTTACTTTGGCTTTGCATACAATGTACAATCTGGCCTGGCGGAAGGAATGGCTCAGGTTTGTCTGCAAGAGCAGAATCCTGGAGGATCTCCTCTTCCATGTGGTGATAGCCCTTGGCTGCATCCCATTCTCCATGGGATGTATGAGTGAAACTTATCCTCCCTCTTCTGCAGCTGAGCCTTGTTGGAGCATGGGCAGTGTGTCTGAGCAGGGTTTGCCTGGTCCCTGCATGCATGATGACAGCAGCTGACAGCTTCTTCAACAGCTTGAGGTCAGCTGTGTTTCTTGCCTGTGTTGCTTCTTCAGACAGTGCAGTGATGAAAGGAGCTGTAAATCAAGCACGTCCCTTTCCTGTCCTGTAGAATGAGATAAAACGCAACACACATTAATTCTCTTGTTATCAGTTCTTGCCTCCCATATAGACATTTGGGTGAAGTAAACCCCTCTTCCCTTTCCTTGCTCTCCCTCGTCAGAGCGTGGCCTCCCCACTAACTGCCAGGATCACTGCTTTCCTTGCTCCAAAGGGACCTGCCACCCTTCCCTCCTGTTAGGGATGGGCATTTATCTTGTTCTTGAGGGCCACATACAGACTGTATCCGGCTCTAACTCTATGGCTGCCTGGCTGGGTCCTGCCCCACTCTGGGCAGAAATACGGGCCCATAGGTCACTTGGCACCCAGGATGAGGTGGTTAGATGGCACCTCAGTGCTTGAAGCAGCCTGTGCAGTGTGGCAGTGTACCAGGGAGCTGGCATACAGCCTAGCTTGGGAGGAGGCTGTCCCGGTGCCCTGGCCACCACCTGAGGTACCCGGCAGCTGTTGGCACCAGCACTGTTGCCAATGCTGGTGTTGGGTGCTGACATGCTGTTGGCACGGGCAGGAAGTCTTGCCTGGCAGGTTTTGCCCTTTGCTTTTGGAGACATGATGTTCTCTGCAGGCTGGAACCTGAGTCCTGCTTCCCCTTGTGACTGGGCCACATGGTGCTGAGGTGAGGGGTCTGCACACCCCTGGGATCCCCAGTGGAGATTTCATTTGTCAACATGCTGCCCTGCATGCTGACACATCTGTGCCAGCTTTTGTCTTCACCCTCCTCTGTTGAAGAATGGCTAAGGGAACAGGGGCACAGCTCCCAGAGAGCATTGTGCAAGCAAGAGTCGAGCAAAGGTCTATGGGAGCTTTGAGCATATAACTAAGAAGTAGGCCTCAGGAACTTAGCTTCTCAGCATTAGAAGTTATTTTCTCAGCACAATGCTGCAGCCAAAGCCCGGAAAACTCAGCAATGTTGCAAGCCCAAGGATGAACTATCCAGGAAAACAAAGAAGGATTCTCCAGAGAATAAAGGAGACTTCTTCACAGCTGCATCTGGAAGCAGAAAAAGTATATAAATGTAACCTTTAGAGCTTAGGTAATGCTAAAGTGAATAGTAGGCATAGTTGTCCTGCAAGCTAAGAAAGTATACAAATGTAACTTTTAGGGTTTAGGTAATGGTTATGTAATGGTAAAGAGAACAATAAGCATAGTTATTCATGCACTGTGTAAGAGAAGGACTGAGCTAACAATGAAGTTGGAGCTTGCTTTATCACTCACACTGCTGCTTGCTTCCCCATGCGGAATTTTCTCAGCACTCCTCCAGTTCTTGCCCTGGATGTGTTTGTATCCT